AGGTGACCGTACTTCGGCAGGTGGGTTGGACTAGATGACCCACAGAGGTCCCTGCCAACCCCGACCATTCTGTGATTCTGTGAAATTTCCCAGAAACAGGTTACTTCACACAGTGGAAGTACTGCCATCTTTCTGCAGTGCCAGAAATCCTAGCCCGTCTGTGGAAAGGCTCAGATTCAGTGAATATTCCCATACATTCTTGTTCACACTGAACATCAAATACAGAGACTATTGTACAAAGAAGCTACTACTTAATGATAAACTACCAGATTCTGTCAGCAGCAAATGCTTGAGTGAGAGCTGTTAGAGAACAAATTTTTGCTGGAGAGACGTATCTTGATCTTATTTTTCCCGACTCTTCCACCTCAACGGACTACACCTGAACATTGTTAACATGCTAGTAATCTGTCGTAGTGTACAAAGGTATTTCTGGAAGATTGCAGGTCAGTTCTAAATCCATTGTAGTTTTAAGACCCACAGAGTGATTTCTGCAACTGGAGAATTTTGCAAAGGATGTTAAAAATGCTGAGCATTTTGAGAGGTCTCAGAATGCGATACATAGTTGTGGAAGATGGTGACCCTTAAATAGACACTGGCAATTCAGCAGATACCCGTCTCCTATCCGTTAGGCTATCTGTAGCCTCTCATCAGCTGTTTTCTGTAAAAGGAACACTAACTACTGGAAGCAAAGCAAAATAACATGTCCAAGAAGGAAGCATGTCAACACATGGTGCAGATTAGGAGCTAGATCTCAACTGTTCTTGCTCATATAAACTTTAGTTTATTTTAACAGGAGTTTGGTTCAAGTAAGTTTCTGTATTTGGGTGATATCAAGGGCTGAACTACTTATAAACCTGGCTTTTAAAAGGAATAATAAAATTATAAATAAGAAAACCAGACTTTAGTAATATAAAATGCTCATTTGTAACTGCAGAGGAAAAAGTTGCGCGTCCTAAACATTAGAATTCTTTATGTTGGTGATGTTTCATCTTGAGAATATTGTGTCCATCTTTATGATGAATTTAATGCTATAAAATTCGATATCTAGTCCCCTATATGTTGACAGTGTCTGTCTAATAACTGAGATCAAATAAAACATTCTTTCAGTTAAGTCTGTCCAGCCCCAGGTACTACCAAAATGATCATTAAGGACCGTAATGGACATCTATGAAAGGATATAAAAATCTGTGGAAGCCCATGGTGAGATTACGTAGGTCACACGTATCAGGGGCTGTTTGCTTATGACTCTGCTACATGCATGGAATAGGCCTTGTGATTATATGCTTCATATAGATTTTGGCACAGCAATCTCCTTGGCATGACTAAGAAAGAATTTTAATTGCTCTGGAATGGTGCATGAAAGCGCTCTCAGGTTCAATTAATTTATTTGCAGAACAAGGCATTATGATTTTGCATTTTATGACACGTTTGCCAGCAGGGAGGTGTGAGTTGTCCCCTTTAAGCAGTTTCCTAAAATATCCATCATTTTGACTGAAAAACATAAATGTCAGAAAATAAGCTTACAAACCAACAGTCACTTGATCTCCAGCATTAGGTCCAGATTGTCCACGCACCCCATAATGGCTACCAAAGTCCCCAGCTGTCAGACCCACTCAGGCTTAGACAATCATGGGTTTAGCTTTCTGTAAGAAGAATACAGGTATTGTGTCACACTTGGAAACACCACCCTGGTTCAAAGCCCTAATCCCAGTGATCAACAAGGCTGCTCTGCAGTACACAATGTCACTAAGTGCTAAACTGGAGAGGGTTTGGCGGCAACGGCAGTGATTCAAGCTGGACTTCTGAATGAAATGAATGCAAGTCAGAAGTGGCATTCATAATGGATCACCACAACCAGAATTCCACAGTGGAAAGACTGCAGATGACGGATACAGTGCAGAGTAAGCGGGAACAGTTCTGTGTTTCACTGCTGCTCTTCCTTGCGGCTGGGAGGATGTGAGCTCCGGTTGCTTACCCTGCTTCAGGTATCACAACACTTCACAGTTTTCAGATTACAACTGAGGCAAGTTTACTATTTAATACAGTTGAGAAAAATGTATTTGGTGGTGTATTTTCCCCCCTCTCATATTCTGAAATATAGCTAACACTACAATGATACTGCACCGGTTCCCTGATTTGAAATTAAAAGTTTTGATATGTGCGAAATATTGGTTTTCACACACAGTATTAATGAAAACCATTCAAAGGTCTTGCTCTTTTCTTGAGCTGGAAAAACAAGTTCCCACTCCCTTTGTCAGTCTGGCAGTTGTACTGATGCAAAACTTAATTTACTGATGTTTTCTTTTCCAGACATACCTCTTCAATGACTTTCATTCTACAATTATTCATGAATACCCCAGCTATAAACACTCTTTTGCCATCAATTCTGTATGTGAGGCTGTTAGTGTGTGGCTGTATTTTCCTCTATGTACTTTTTAAAAAAGCTTTGTTGGATAGCAAAGCTCTCTTTTCAGTGCTTCCAGAATCAGCTCTTCAAAGCCGTGTGGGTCATTACACATCTCTGTAAGAAAAGGTCACCTCAGATTGTACTTCTGGTAAGCAAATACCCTTCTTTTCACAATATGTCAGTGTAGGGTAGTACCAACTCCTCTAGCTTTTGCTTGTATTTTAATAGGAATTTTGTTCAAGTAATTTTGATCCTTGCAGATTTCTGACCACTATCAAAAGGAGACACTAATGGGCAAATGCCACCACTACACAGTGTATCCCATCCTGAGAACACGGTGTGAGTTGCAAATGAGTACATGATAATACATTTACTAGGTCAGGACAGAGCTCAAACCATATAGTGGATTAGAATTCAGATACTTCAGTGCATCTGTCTCCAGAGAAACATAGATGGAATAAAAATATTTCCTCTTCAATACTGAAAATGGGGTTTTATCGAAATAACCATCATTCTTTACCATTTTTTTCTCCCCTGCATGGCATTAGCAGTTCCGCTGATGATGCGGAATCCTAACAGCTGCTTCCCATTGCTTCAGCAAGCTGTTCTCCCACTCCAGAAACCTCTCACCTTCTTCACAGCTGATGTAGTCCCAGGTTCCTTGTCACAGCTGAGGTCTGGACTCCTCATTTGACCCTGGGCAGAGGGAAGGGACAGGAATGCAGCTCTACGCCGTCTTTACGCTACCTGCCCCAATCAAGGTAGCTGCACTGTCAAACTACGCTCCACACCACTGATTTCTCAACTTTTGCCAAAGCAGTTCAAGCTGGCGGGAGCAGACACCATCCGAGGTCAGTCACTCCGATTCTCGCCCTGCTGCCCGTGTTGCGCTGGAACAGCTGTTTGTCGGGCCAGGGTGAGCGCTGTGAGGGAACAACGCAGCTGAATTTCTGTTTTCTGCACTGTGCACCATAAATGGACCTGAAAAAGCCCAGAAAGGCCACTCTAGTATTACAGAGGAGGCAGTGAGGTTGCAGGAACAAGTGGTCAGGACTGATTAAGCCAATGCTGTGTACCCCCCAGAGTGCCTGCTGGAATCATAGCTTGGCTTTAGTTAGACATTCAGCGGTTCTCCAAGTTCAGTGCATTTGTTCTTCATCCACTAACAAACACTGACTTGGTATTTGTTAGTATCATGCAATTTGGTTCAACCCAAAATAAAACAGATCACTGTAAGAAAACCAAATGCCTGTATTTGTTTCTATGGTCAGCCAGGAGAATCTTTTTTTTTTATCCGTTAGTATTTAGGGCTCTTCCTCCCTCAATTTGAAGAAAAATCAAATTATGGAAATAGCCAGCAAATCCCTTTCCCTTAATCCCCCATGTTGTGGTGAAAATGGCTGTCAAGTTGCACATGAAATGCAAATAAAAATTTTTACATATTATCATTTTCTATCCTGAGACTAATACCTATCATCCCCCAAGAACAGATGAAATTGCAGTAACCAACTTTCAGGAGAGAAGTTGCAGGTACATATATTTTTATCGAGAAGTAAGGTTGAATCGATTCATGCCTTCTGTGGGGAAAACCACAAGAGGGGGCTAAATTTCCATGAGGTTCCCCACGTGAAGCCCTCTTGTTACTCACCAGAGGGAAGGGACTCATACTGACCACCTCACAAGTAAACTCACAGTGAAGTACCCGTTTCTCTAAGCACTGCCATATGAAAGAGGACAAGATCCCTACTCTGATTCTCAAAGGGCTGCCCACTCCTAAACCCAGAGCATATTTTCCTGCAGAGATTAATTGTTCCCCTGCTTCCATGTTAAAATGTGATCTAGACAGACATTCCTTGCTGGAAACAAATCACAGAAGATACATCCAGTCCCTTTTTTCAGTACTTCAAAAATATTAATGAAAACTCAACATAAAAGCAATGAAACATCCCCAAATAAAAAAATAAAGGTCCCCTTTATGTCTTCTAGTTAAGCGTGGTTAATTTGGCAGAAACTTAAATCTACAAGAAAGACCTGACTTACTGCTGGACCAGTTTACTGGTATTACTGGCTGGGGGGCTGGCTGAGTTCAGCAGCCGAAAGATGGAGGAGACAGGGACATATAGCCCCAGACAGGCCTTCTGGCAACAGTGCGATCTTAGACCAGTTTAAATCATTTCTGAAAGTGCAGCCTAAGTGGCCCTGCACGTATGCACCCTAGTATTTTACACCACAGGAAAGTGCTACCCCTCCAACGTGCTGGTGATCTACACTCGTATTCTCCTAGTGAAAGGATAAAAGGGACTGTGATTGGCAATCTGATCTCTGACACAGGTAACCTACAATGAATAATAAACATGTACGTCCAAAAATCCATTGCTTCTGCCAGAGCCTTTCCAAAAGGACTGAAAAACCCCAGAAGTTTTCAGACGACGTGTGCACATATAACAATCATCTGGCATCTCTGTATGCTCACCTTCGACATTGGCCTTCGTCACAAGGACAAGTGAAGTACAGGCATGCTGTGAGACTCCAAGGATCCAGAACATCTGGTTGCCTGGCCAGAAAGTTTCCCAACCACTTTTTTATGCCAGGAATTTAAATCATCTGTAAACCTATGGAATGCAAAATAAAGGACAGAAAAGTCAATTGCTCACAAGGCAATATCAAACCCAGACTCATACAGTTTGATTGTAGGTGCTACCGCTCACGTACATGTCTTCTGCAGAAATGAAATGCAGTGAGGAGTGCAAACCACAACATAGAATTTTGTCTCAGACAGCTTTTCTTGTCTACTGGGGTAAAAAAGATGGCACAAAAGGCAGACTCTATAATGAGAATTATTCATTCTTGGCTGCCATATTGTATTTCATGTTTCATAAAAAGGGGAGGGATACTTTCTTCCTTCTTATGGCTAAAAACAATAAGGTACTAACTCTTTTCCACAGTTTTATATGCAGATTCAGAATTTGTTTTCCAATATTGATTGCATAAAAGTGTTCCTTCTGGAGTTTCTTAATATATGTTATTTTTCTACTGCTTAAATCTTTTATATATATGTATGCATGCCCAACTGTTGTACAAAGGCTGTAGTCAAAAAGTGCTGCTGTTCTCTAGCATGGTGATACAGGGAGCTAAAGAAAAAAGGGATGTAATTTCTTAACAATACTATTGCGAACCTATTTCCTGTTTCAAAATTATGTTCATTTCCTTTCTCAGACACACTTGAAAGTCTGGCTCCCAAAATCATCTCTACACTCTAAAATAACATAGGATCTTTTGAAAGACACCTGAGATTTCTTTGTGGGAAGGAGGTGTCCGTACTGGTGTTTCCAATTACTCAATAAAGCAGTCAAATTACTAACTTATCAACATTCTTTACCAGGTTGCAAAAATTACTCCAACACTGGACAACCATAGTGAATGTGGATTGGTGACTTGTTGCTGAGAGTCAGCGAATCCCTCTGCAAGGGTGACAGCAAGTGAACAGAACAGCAGCGTGTTCTTCTCTCGCAAGGCTGCAGATGGCTCTGTCAGCTTTTTCTCATCTAAAATGATCGGCTGCATTTTGGACAGGTACCTGCCCTGCAGAAAAGGCTGAGCCTAGAAGGAAGTCATACGTACTTCCTTTGCTCAGTTTTTACACACTAACATATTCACTCTGCTCACGACCTACACAGAGTTGCACACACACATCACAGGACTTCGCTGTCTATGCTAGGAAGTTTGCATCAAGAAACCTAGAAGGGGGACAAATTATATTTAATGAACTCACAAATATTTATTCATGCAAGTTTAGGTGTCAAGAAGCTGCTATGGCAAATATATAATAAATTCCTAAAAATAAACAGATGGGTAATTTTTAGCAAATAGTTTTAAAAATGTAGCTTTAAAAGTATATATGGTAAGTCTGGTAACATAGCAGTACTTCAAAAAGCCTTTTGAAACTAATGAGGCAGAAAGTTGAAATTATTTCAGTGAATGAGTAGTGTCCATGGTCTTACATTACCCATCCTAAAAAGCCTTCAGAGCATCTTACTGATTAGGTTTGTAATCGTAGCTGAAATATGCAGCTATTTTCTCTCTGTGGTATGATCTTTCTGTTGTTTGTAATCAGAAAGCTAAAATCATATTCAACTTTGTTTAGCATGAGGCTAAACACCCCTTGCTAAAAAGCTGCCAAAACCTTTCTGTCTTTTCATTTGAAGAGATATCTGAATCGTCTCTATCCAGTCAAAAAAGAACTGGTGCTGCCAAGGTGATACTTTTTCAACAATATTTCTGAAGCAGTCAGCTTGAATGCATTGTTTGACAATTGTTTTTAAAGAACCATCAGCATTTTTTTTTGTAGTCGTAAGTGTCTGATTCCTTCACCAAAGGACTGTCTTAAGCTAAAATAAACACCACTCACAATCAGTGGAATATGCTGGATTATATGTGTTTGTGTATTCCACTCTCTATACATGATGCCTCGCATACTCAAGAACAGCCTTTTAG